GTCCTGGGGCTGCGCTGCCCCCCCCCCCTGTGGGGCGCGGACCGCGGCGGGGCGCGGGCGCCGGAGGAGGCGCCGCCATGCAGTGGCGTCCGGCGCTGGTCCAAGGAGTCCGCGCGGGCCGCCGGGAGGGTCTGCTTGCCCAGACCGCTAAAACAATTGGCGGACGTAGTCTCGTTTGAAACGGAAAATACATTTGTCGAGTTTTGAAGCTGCTGATATTCGAGGGCGATCTCGTTTTATTATGAGCCTCTCTTTAAATGTAAAAGCTCTACGAGGGCTCTGGCGGTAACCTGGCTGACGGTTTACCGCCGGCTCCCCTCGAGTCATCATGGAAGAAGCACGACTCGCGAGCGTCTGTTTACCGAGACCCCGCGGGCTCGCCGCCAAGGAGCGCTCATCCATGACCACCGTCCGGGGGATCGATCCTTCGACGACCTCGGCAGGCGGCGCCCCTTGTCATCTGTTCGGGCCCTGGGTGGGGCAGACACTATGCGACCGCGCGCCGCATTCTCTGAAGAACGGCCCGCCAGGTGAGCGAAGCCAAACAACTTGTAGCATTGGGGCCGTCGGTGGAGCTCCTGTTGGGGCCACGAAGCGCTCTACTGGATGAGGGGGGGAGGCATGCAGGCGGTAGCACTGGGACTTTCGGTGGGACCCCCTTTCAGGCCACGAAACGTTGTACTGGGTGGGGGGGACGCATGCGGGCACCCCCACTGGGGCCTTCGGTTGGGGTTCCCTATGGGGCCACGAAGCGCTGCACTGGGTGTGGCGGACGCATGCGGGCACCCCCACTGGGGCCTTCGGTGGGGCTCCCTCTGGGGCCACGAAGCGCTGTACTGGGTGTGGCGGACGTATGCGGACACCCCCACTGGGGCCTTCGGTGGGGCTCCCTATGGGGCCACAAAACGCTGTAGTGGATGTGGCGGACGCATGCGGACACCCCCACTGGGGCCGTCGGTGGAGCTCTCTACTGGGCCACAAAACGCTGTACTGGGTGGGGGGGACGCATGCGGGCACTTCCATTGGGGCCTTCGGTGGGATTCCCTATGGGGCCACGAAGCGTTGTCCTGGCTGGGGGGAATGCGGGCACCCCCACTGGGGCGTTCAAGGGGCCACGAAACGTTTGAGGGGTGTGGCAACGGGAGGAGGGAGGAGGAGGAGGAGGAGGAGGAGGAGGAGGAGGAGGAGGAGGAGGAGGAGGAGGAGGAGGAGGAGGAGGAGGAGGAGGAGGAGGAGGAGGAGGAGGAGGATGTGGGGGAGGAGGAGGAGGGGAAAAAAGAGGAGGAACGCGGGGACCGTCTCCTCATAACGAGGACCCAGCACCACAGGATGGTTGGGAAAAACGTAGGACGAGGATGGGGGCGCCGTGCCCCCCTCCGCCGCGCGTTCCCCTCGCCTCCCTCCAGGGGTAGCTCTTCGGGGATCCCTGGTTTGGGGTGTCCCTGGTTCTCTCTCCCGTCGTTCCACTCCCCCGGGAGGCTTTTCCTCGTCGTCTCAGGCCGCCCCCCGTCGCTCCCTTTCGGAATGCTTCTTTTTGGGCGTTCCAGCCAATGACGCACCCTATGCCCCCCCCCCGTGTCTTCCTCCCCCCCACAACGCAACGCCCCCCCCCCCCAGTGCGCCCCCAGCAGTGCCGCAGTGATTCTGGCACCACAGTCTGTTGTGCCGGACCCACACGCCGGGGGGGGGCGTTACGATATGCCCCCCTCCCACCGCCCGTTCTGTCCTCCATGACGCCAGTTTTCGCCAACAACATGTCCTCCGCGTGCTACACCCGAGTCCCTTTTAGTGAGCGCCCTCTCCCGTGGCAGAGCGCCGCCGGGGAGGGGAGGGGCGGCGGCGCCCAACGACCCTGATGCCCGCAGCGCGAGGGCGAGGTGAGCCAGGGCTGGACCCGAACGCTGGTTTGCTGGATTTCGGCTGTGTTCTGCTTGTTGTGTTGGCAGGGAGGTACAGGAAAACAGATAGACCGGCAGCGCGAGCGCGAGGTGAGCCAGGGCTGGACCCAAACGCTGTTTTGCTGGATGTTGGCCGTGTTTTGCTCGTTGTGTTGGCAGGGAGGTGCAGGAAGACAGGTAGAGCACAACGGACAGCAAAACGACCACAACACGAAACATAACGACTAGGTCCAGCCCTGAGAGGTGAGCAAGGGGCGCGCTGAGCCGCCTGGGCGACGGAACAACATCTGGGAGGAAGAGGTGCCTTTCCTCAGTGTTTGCCTTCTGGGGCCTCTTGGGGGACCCTCGTCGCAACGGTTGCGTTCGCCCCGCGATCCCGGCCAGAACGCTTCCCGGGAGAGGTCGAGGGAGCAGCGGTATCGGTGCCTTTCGGCTTCCCCCAGAACGGGGCCCAGCGCGCCGACATTGGCGCGCAAGCTGCCCGCGTAAAGGTCGCGCAGAAACGCTCCCATCTGTGCGCCTCGTGATGCCCCGTGCCATCCCGATTTTTGTTTTTTCGTCGCCCACGGGGTCTCTGTTGATCCGAGCGATCCGCTACGATACTCAGCTCTGTCTGGCCCGACCGACTCGACTGTGACGCTCCGCCGACCCGCTTCGACGACGCAGGCTGATCGTGGGCCGACGACCGCAGTTCGGCTCGCGCTGGCCCTGCTGGGTCGGGACGCAAAAGATGCGGACCTCTGGGCCGACCACTGCGGGGATCAGTGGCAGAGCAGCAGCAGCGAGAACGCCTGCCTCACAAAAGGCCGAGGACGCCACCAAAGAAGCTGCCGAGGAACGCACCCGGAATCAAGCTGGCAGACACCCAGAAGGCCAGGGGCTGCATCACGGAGCAGACGTTCGAGGCATACTAGCCAGTGCCCGTCGGTCCAGGAAGCTCGGGCGACACCAGGAGGCGGGCACGCTGGAGGCAGCAGCATGCGCGGCCATATGGGCCAACCAGAACTGCCACGCCGCTGTATGCAAGGATGCGCCCACATGCACGCGATGCGCCATGGGTGCGGAGGGCACGCCACTGCACAGCCTCTGTGAATGCCCAACCACTCAGACGATTGAGCACCCTTGGATCGAGCGCACAGCAGACCTCGGAGCCCGGGCACTAGCTGTCCGCGACGACCCGATCGAGATGGCGGTCTGGGTGCGCGGCATTCTCCCCTCCACCACGCGCCTAGTCGACCCGCCGCCTGCGGGGCAGCACGGCAGATGAGCACTGGACGGTTGGAGGCGACAGTACACCGATGCGCCACAGAACCATCACCACCACAGCGGCGGCACACACTGATGGCTCAGCCACCTCATCCGACTAGCAGACGGCGTGAGCGGGCTGGGGGGTGGCGCTCGACCTACCGCTCAACGACAGCGACCCAGACCAAGCCGCAGAGTACCCTTGATGGTTCGGGGTGATCGATGGCGCCCAGACCGCTTGAGCAGCAGAAGTGGCAGCCGTATGCTGGGCGCTTCGTATCACCAGTGGACCGCTCACCATCTACTGCGATTCACAGATGGTGGTAGAAGGCTGGCACAGCTTCAATTACATGTAACCCGCAGGACCATTGGCCAGATGGTGGCCGAGGACCAGAGGAATCATTGCCACCAAAGACGGCGGCGTCCAGGGCGTCTCGCTCCGCAAGTGCTACTCCCACGTGGATGTCCCCGCCATCGTGCGCCCAGGACAGCCGCCCAACGTGACCAAAGGAAACGAGCTAGCTGATGGCTGCGCGCAGAGAGGGGCAGAAATGGCAGTGGAGGTGGAGGAGGAGGAGGAGGAGGAGGAGGAGGAGGAGGAGGAGGAGGAGGAGAGGAGGAGGGAGGGAGGGAGGGAGGGAGGGAGGGAGGGGGGGGAGGGGGGAGGAGGGAGGGGAGGGGGAGGAGGGAGGGAGGGCGGGCGGGCGGGCGGGAGGAGGAGGAGGAGGAGGAGGAGGAGGAGGAGGAGGAGGAGGAGGAGGAGGAGGAGGAGGAAGAGGAGGAGTATAGGAGGAGTTTGTTGGTTCCTCCTCCCCCCCTGGCTCGGCCCCGGTCCAGGGCCCCTGCGCTGGCCCCGCCCATGTCTTCCCCGAGGCCCTCGGAGGCCTTGATTGGTATTTTGGTGTGGTTCGTGGATCCTCCCTGCGCCAGCCTGGAGCTCCCCAACTGCGTCAGCGTAGGGCTCCCCCGGTTGGGGAGGAAGAAAGACACGCGCTGATGATCCACGGCTGCGCGTGTTGCATTCGTCTGCGCACGCACTGAGCCCACTGCAGCTTTGGGCGGCCGCAGTCCAGGCCCGTGCCCAGGTCCTCCCCCAGGCCCTCGGACCCGTCTTGTCGCGGCTGGTTGGTGAGTCCACCTTCCCTGGCTCAGCCTTTCGGGTTTTAGACGAAGTCACGCGGCACAACCCACTCCACGTTACCAAAATAGTGGTTCTCAGAACGAATTGCCAAAGCTCTCAGAATCTTTCAAAAACCGACCCAGGGTGCCACATTGTCCGTCCCGAGCAGCTGCAGTCCAGGCCCTTCGCACAGGTCCCCCCTCTCTGGCCTCCCTTTCTGGCGTCCCCTCCGGAGCCTCACCTCCTGGCCCCCCTCGTGGCAGTCCTCCTGCGCCGCGGAACACTTTTCTGTCCGCTCGTCGCCTCTGGTACGTCTTGCCCCCCCTGGCCCCCTCCCTGCACCCCTCGCGTTCGCCGTCGTGGTTCGCCCTCCCTCCAGGGCCACGGGAACCCTTATTCTCTTGCACAGCCGTGCTCCAGATCTTGGAGCCCTTGATTTTCAGTATTTTCACTCATTCGCTAGTCGTTCGTTGTCGTCGTTCGTCCTCTGACCACCCCCCACCCCTGGGCCCTGGCCCCATCTACTTTTCCCGCCACTGGCACTAGAGCTGGGACCTCCTTATCTTCGCGTGCGTACCCGTGTCTCCACATAGTGTCTCCAAAAAGCCTCCAGGATGGACCCGACAGAACCCTCCTCCTTATCATGCTCCTCGAACCAAGGCATGCGTTCAACTTTCTTATATTCCGCTCCCGACATCTCGCTTGTGCATCGCTCCTGGATGGGGATACGCGAAGCATCAATAATAAATCACCATCAGGGTCCACGAGTAAGACGATATGAAGCCTTTCGTGACCTTCGCTATGCCGTGGGTCTTGGCCCAGCGCTTCACGACACAGCTGAGCACGCTGAGCTCGGGCAGCAGCTCGACATAGGTGCGCAGCAGCTTAGTGTTGTACAGGGCCAGCAGGCTTTGGAAGCAGAGGTCACACTCGGAACCTGGAGGCCATCCAGATGGGACCCGAGCCGATGGGGCCGGAGGGTCGCGCCGCATCGCCGATGCAACGTTGGCGATGCATCGGCGACGTCGCGCAGAGAGCACCGGGCCCCACGCCGTGCCGCATCGCGGGCACGCCGGAGATGCGGCGCGACCCACCGCCCCATCTGCGCCGACCCTATTTGGGCGGCCCTGGGCACCGTCCTTCATCTGCAGGACGTGCACCGGAACCTTCGCCCACGGGCGGGGCTCGAAGCCCCGCAGCCCGCGGATCCGCCGCATCCGCTCCGTCATCCGCTTCAGCGCGCTGCGCGCGCTCAGCTGCGCCACGCCGGGGGGCACGCGTCGAAGAAGAGAAGAGGGCACAAGCAGAAACTGTCGGGGGTCCTCGGCGGGCCTGGTCTGCACTGCCGCGCGCCAGTACTGTGCTGTGCGAAGCGCCGACTGCGCTCCGCAGAGCGCTACCGCAGGTCAGCCCCCCCTGGAGGTATGGTGGTAAGGTTGAAAAAAACACGGTGGGCTTGTTTTCCACCACCGTAGACCCTGGAAACGACAGGGCCGTTTTTTTACCGGTTCCGTTTTGCCGTTTTTTTGCCGGTTCCGACGCCGTTTTTTTACCGGTTCCGTCGCCGTTGTTTGACCGGTTCTGGCTCCGGTTCCAATCCTGGAGCCGTTCTTTTACCGTTTCCGGTCGCCGTTTTTTGGCCGTTTCCATTTTCAAGGGACATTTTTGGGGAAACGGTGAAAAAACGGCCCTGCCGTTTCCGGGGTCACCTCAATTAAGTAGGAGGGGGAGGGGGTCCTCCTCATCCTCCTCTTCTTTCTCCTCATCCTCCACCTCGTCCCCCCCGCCAACCTATGGTGGTGGTGGTGGAAAACAGGCCCATCAAACGAACCACGGGTCCTCGCGGACGACGTGCTTCGGCGCTGGGCACCCCCGGGCGCTGGGCACCCCTCCCTGGCGCGCGCGGAGCGCGCCAGAAAGGGCGCCGGAGGCGCCGCCAAGGGGGCCCAGCGCCGATCTGCAAGAGGTCCGCGCGGACCAGCGAATGTTCGATGTGCTCTGTGCCGACTCTGGTTCTTCGAATGTATATGGTGGCATCGAGGTCGGCGCTGCCCTCGTCAGGTGTTGCAGGAGTGTCCCCAGCCCGGGGCGTCCCCAGGATCTATGAGGCCCCCACACAGCCTCCAGAGCACCCCTCACGAGGCTCAGAGGGCCCCAGGGGCTCTTAAATCGAGCGAAAGCGAGGGGCGCCTTTCGACGATTCTCAGAACGTGTGGTGGCGCCAGCGTCTGCTTGTCCACCGGAGCCCTTCCATACGAAGCAGGCGGTACAGCGAGGGCCGACACTGACAGCGCGCTGGCTGTCGACGAAGCCATGGTGGGCAACACACACACACACACACTTGGGCTACCACACGTCCTGAGGATCATCGAACCCTGGGCCAGGGACATCTAGAGGCCTCCTAGATGGGGTCGGAGTAGATGGGGTCGGTGGATCGTGCCGCATCGCCAATGCATCGGCGATGCATCGGCGATGCATCGGCGACGCATCGACGACTTCGGCGTGGGAATATTGGGCCCCACGTCGAACCGCATCGGCGATGCCTCGGCGATACGGCGCGATCCTCCGACCCCATCTGCTCCGACCCCATCTAGGAGGCCTAGAACATCGCAGCAACCCCCGCCGGCCTCGCCGCACCCGGTCACGGTGGACCCGAAGGGGAAGACGCGCGACCCCGGGCCCACGGCGTCCTGCGCGGCCAGGTGCAGGTCGCGCAGCAGCGCCTCCTTGGCGCTCCTATGGCGCGGAGGGCACACGGCACACCACGCCCTGGCCGGGGGCCCTCGCAGGCGCTCGCACGGTGCACAGCCATCGTGATACAGTCGGGGCGTTGACCTAAGGAACCCTAAATAAGGAACGAGGCCGCTTTTTTCCATAAGTGAAACTTCGATTTCCGATCGAAAATATAAGGAAAACCTGAGGCAAGCTGTGAAATTCTTAAGAATCGCGGAGCCCCTCCCCAACGAAAAGGTTCCTTCTTCAGGGCCCCGACTGTACAAGCAGGAAAGCCAAACGAAGAACGAAGGGGCTGTCCCGGCCACGGCCGCGAATGGATTCCCCGACCTAGAACTCAGGAGTGGTTTGCGGCGCGCACAAAGGGGGTAGGGGGGGAGGGGGGAAGGCTTCTTGGAAGCAGGGTGCTTCTAAGAAGCCTTCCCCCCTCCCCCTGCCTCCCTCTGCTAGTGGCCGAAATCCGCCGACCCTGTCGGCGTGTGTGAGGGGCTTGTCCGTTCGAGTCGTCGTCTCCGACATTTGTCAGTCGTCGTCCCTGTCATCCCCTTTCCCTGCGCCCCCCCCTTTCCCCGTGCTCGTCGCCGCTCCCCCCCCCCTTTCCTGGGCCCTCCCCCCAGGTCCTCCTCCTCAAGCGCGCCAGCCAAATTGAAATTGAGCAACGTCGTAATTGACTCGAAGGGAAGCCCCTTCCCTTTGATCCCTCCCCCGCCGGGAGGGGAAGGGGTCCTGAGGGGGTCGCGGGGGGGTCCCGGGAAGATCCTGGGAGGGGGGGTCCCAGGTCAGATGCGACTCCCCCCGGGGGTCCCGGGGCCTCCAGAAAACCCGAAGACGGGCCAAGGGTGCCCCAAGAGGCCCCCAAGACGGTCCAAGAAGGCCCCAGATCGCCGAACGATCTGTCCAAGACGTCTTGACGGCCCGCAGACGGCCAAAGAGCACGCCCCAAGAGGCCTCCAGGAGCACTCCCAAGAGGGCCCCAAGAGGAAAAAAAACTGTTTTCCCATTGGTTTATGAAGAAATTCGGCGTTCTCGCCTCTTCCGGACGCTCCACGGCCCAAGACGCTTCCAAGACGGCCCAAGAGGCCCTCAAAACGTCTCCAAGAGGGTGCCCAGACGAGGGACCAGAACGGACATTTCGAGCCCTCGGCCCCGAGAGGCTCCCAGGGAAGAGGCCCCCAAGAGGCCCCAAGAGGCCTCAAGAGGCCCCCGAGAGGCCCCCAGGAAGCCCCGAGAGGCCCCCAAGAGGCTCCCGTGAGGCCCCCAAGAGGCTCCCAAGAGGCCCCTAAACTGTCCCCCCAGAGGCCCGCGAGAGCGCTTCGAAGAGACCCAAGAAGCATCTATGATCGGGAGCGGCCAAGAGGGGGGTGTCCAAGAGGGGGGGGTGCAAATCATGACCGGCGGCATGTGCGCGGCCCAGCGGGGGGGCCTGGGACGTGATGAAACAAGAAGAGGCGCCATGAAATCTGGGGAAATATCATGGCCCGCTCCATGATATCCAACCCCCCCTAGTCATCACCCCCCTCTTTTCCGCTCCCGATATGAGGACTCCGACCCACGTCAGCGTCGTCGCCGCCGCCGCCGCCGCCGTTGTCGTTCCACTTCCGGGTATCGGCGGCACCGGCCGGAGGCCTTGGCAACGGCCCGAGAACCAGGGCCACATCCGGAGCATGAGGTGCTCCTTACGTTTAGGTCGGGCGTGTCCCCCTACACGCGGATTTGGAAGGGAACATTAGAAACAGTAAAACATATATATATATATATATATATATATATATATTCAAATGTAGTCAAACATAGGCAAAACGTCGTCCCCACATGATTGTTTTACTACTTTGACATTGTCCTCCTGTAGAGGGACACGCCCGACTCAACCGTGCTTCGGCGTCTTGATTCCTCGCTGCTCCCTCCTCGCCGAGGCCGGGGTGGGCCTGCACGGTGCGGGCGCCGCCGCAGGAGAAAAACCGCGCCAGAGAAGCCCGGCCCCGACGGCTCGCGAGCGAGGTGCACAACAGGGGATCGGATCGGGCGAAAGGGGGGGATAGCAAAGGGGGGGTTTGAGAATCAGCTCACGTAGCTGATTTTCCCGGCGCCTCCCGGCGCCGGAGGCGGCCATGTATCGAGGAATGGGCCCCTCGGTGAGGCCGAAACCAGCTGCATGCAGCAAATTTCGTAACCCCCCCTTTCCCAAACCCCCCCTTTCGCCCGGCCCGAGGGGACAGGTCGACCCCGTGTCCCAGGCTTCGTGGGGTTTTCGACTGGAGCAAGAATTCTTGGGGCCCAGCCCTAGGACATGGGGGGCGGCCATCCTCGGTACGAGCGCGTGCGAATACGTATGGCCCCCTTTTGGGGTACGTCCCAGAGTCTCCCCGCGTTTCCTGAGCGGCCAAGCTTCCCGGGTGGAACTCGGGGATCGGGGGAGAAAACTCGCCTGCGATTGCGGCTGGGGGAGCCCCAACAAGGCACCCTGAACGCAGCATTGTCTTGACGCCCGCGGCAAATCACCGCGCAGTGCGCGCAGCGAGCTCCCAGGAAATCCAAGGCACCCTGAGGAAGAACGCCTGGTCTTTTGATGCGCGTCCGCACTCTACACCATCCTGAGAGGAAGAAGAAACAAGGACGAAGAAACAGCATAAACTTAAACTTTCGGAGGTCCTCTCGGATGTCTTGAATCGGCGATGGGACCGCCTGGCGGCGCCTCCGGCGTTGCCCCTGGCGCGCTCCGCGCTCCAGCAAAGGGGGACAAGCGCCTATGCAAGAAGAGGGCCCATCAAGCCGGATTAGGCTGGATTGTGCCCAGGATTGAACCAGATCCGACGCAACCAAGCAGGATTGAGCCAGATCGAACAAGATTGAGTGGGACTGAGCCAAACTGGGCTGGTCTTCAAGCAGGGATAGACCAGCGCCGATTCCGAACTTAACCTGCCAGGAACTGCATCCTCATGCGCACCATCCTGGGGCCCGCGATGGCCCTGGCCAGGCACGGTGCACGGCAATGGTGTCTAGGGCGCCCTCCGCGGGCTCCTCTCCCGGAGCCCCGGCAGCGCCGCAGCCGCGAACGCCCGCAGCTCCGCGTCGAGGGGATCGTCCGCAGGCGCCGCGTCCTCAGGCGGCCGCGCGATCGCCGGAATGCCAGAACCCAATCGGACCGTTCAATCTTGAACCGTCGGCGGCTTCTCGATCGCCAGGTCGTTCCGTGCGCAATGGCCGGTTCTGGGCCATGGCCGTTCAGCCTGAGGCCGGGCATGTCCCCCTACGGGCGGATTTTGGACGGATAAATGAAACAATACCCCCAAAATGTTCAAACATTGGTACATGAGATATATATATATGTATATATAAAAACGTCTCCAGACGATTTTTCCACTATCTTTGAATATTCCTCCTGTAGAGGGACGCGCGCCGCCGCCGAGGTTCCGCCGCGAACGCCCACGCCCCGCGCTGGGGTCGGGGCCACGCCGCCGCGGCAAGACAGCCGCCGAGGCTCCACCTCGGACGCCGGCGCCGAGGTCGCAGCCGAATGGCAGGACGCTCCGCGCGGACCCCGCGCGCCAGGGTTGTCGCCGTCGTCGTCGTCGTCGTCGTCGTCCTTCTGGGTCGGCGGCACCGGCCGTAAGGCCTTCACAATGAGAAGAAGAAAAAGCCACGTGAACATAAACTTCTGGCCACGTGAACATAAACTTCTGGCGCTCCGCGCGGATCTCTTGGATTCGCGCTCGACCCCCCTCCCTGGCGCGCGGAGCGCGCCAGGGGTGGCGCCGGAGGCGCCGCTGGTGGGCCCAAGCGCGGATCGCGGATCCAAGAGATCCGCGCGGAGCGCCAAAAGCTCATGTCTATATATGCTGTTTCTTCGTCGGGATCAACCGTCGAGGGACAAGCAATGACAGAAGCCTCAACGCTCGGAGGTCCGCGTGGAAGGGTCTGGGCGCCCCCTGGGCCCGAGGGGAAACATGGCCTCGTCGTCGTCCTCCTCCCCTTCCTCTTCCTCGTACTCCTCCTCTTGTCGTCCTACTCATCCTTATTGCGTTGCCGTTGCAAGGTGCTTTACTTCACAAGAACATGCGGACCACATCGATGGGGCACACTGGGGGCGTGCGGAATGGCCCAAGCCCAAGAGATACACGTGGGCCACTTCCAACTCAACACTCGGTCTGTCTCCTGAATCCTCGGACGACGATTAGGTCGGGCCTGTCCCCCTGCAGGCGGACTTTGGGCGAAAAATAAAACATATTCAAGAAACACCCTAGAAATACCCAAAAATTCTCAAACATAATACTACCCGACTATTTTTTGACTATTTTTGAATGTCCCCCCTGTAGAAGGACAGGCCCGACTCAAGACGACGACCGAGAACATCATCTTCAGCAATCCAAAGGACACGCGAGGCAACGCACGCGGTTGAAATCACACGCGCAGCATGCGGAGGCCAGTTGCTGCATACACGTGTGGATGGCTGGCGTGTCCAGACACACGGGGGCCGAACGCTGGAAGGACGTGCGCCAACATGTGTACCCAGATCTCGCCCCGGCTGGCCACGTCGTGCCTATACGGCAGGTTCGTGTCGTGTCGACCCCGGCGTTGGTTCCTGACACCGCGGGGATCGTTCAACCTTGAACGATTGGCCCTTTCCGGAACGTCCGATCGTTCATCATCGACCGACTCTGGGTCGCCCGCGGCGTTCAATGTTGAACGCAGGCGGCGGGGTCGCTGCCGGTCGACACGACGCGAATCTGCCGCACGGGTTCCCGGCAAGAGACACACAAAAGAAATGTCCCTCTGTGTGTTGGGTCCCAATGCTCCAGGCGAGGCAGGGACATCGAAGGAAACACCGCTGGGCGAAGGCAGAGCGTGCGCCTGCGAGCACCACAACGTGCTCGGCTAGGCACAGGAGCAAGACAAGAACAACGAGAGACGAGCTGATGGGATCGGAGGCTCGCGCCGCATCGCCGATGCACTGGCGATGCGCCGGCGAGGCATCGGCGATGCATCGGCGGCGTCGGTGGTGCATCGGCGACGCCAGCGCGGAGAAAGCCGGGCTACACACTGAGCTGCATCGGCGATGCGGCGCGACCCTCCGACCTTTGTGGGCCCCGGAAACGGCAGGGCCGTCTTTTCACCGTTTCCGAAAAAGTGTCCCTTGGAAATGGAAACGGCAAAAAAAACGGCGACTGGAAACGGCAACAGAAACGGCTCCAGGATTGGAACCGGAGCCGGAACCAGTCAAAAAACGGCGACGGAACCGGTAAAAAAAAACGGCGTCGGAACCGGCAAAAAAACAGCAAAACGGAACCGGTAAAAAAACGGCCCTGTCGTTTCCAGGGCCCACGAAGCCTCCGACAGTCCCCACTCACCCAGACCCGATCTAGGCGGCCTACAGTGTCCCCAGGCGGCCCCACGTGCGAGCTCTGCGCTGCCCCCCAGGGGCTGCTGTGCACGCCCACCTCCTCGGCACTCCGAACCTGCGCGGCGACCCTACGGGCCCGCTCGGCCGCGGCCCTCCTGCGTCCCTTCGGTCGAGCCTACGCGGGCAGCCTACGTACGCTCGAATGTCCGCGTCGTTGATCCCGTGCACTTGGCGTCGCTCACACGCCAACGCCACCCCTACCAGCCCAAGTCCTGGACAGACCCAGGGCACTGGGCTTAGCTTAGGTTGGGCATGTCACCATGTCCCCCTACAAGGGGACTTTGGACGAAAAACTGAAAATAGCTCCAACAGCAAGACATGCTAGAAAATTGTTCCCTGACTATGTTTTTACTATTTTTGAGTGCTCCTCCTGTAGAGGGACAGGCCCGACTCAACGCTGGGCTGGGCCCCGTAGGACTGCAAGCGGGCACCAGGCCAGGCGAGCCCCGACCCAACCCGGGGAACGGCCCCACGCGCGGGTCCAGATCGGCAGGCGGCGGGAGTGGGCTTCTGGAGGCCTCCTGCAAGGGGCCAGACTCAGAGATCCAACGTATTGAAAAAATCAAGACTGAGGTTTTTCGCTGTTTTCGGCCTCTAGGGACCCTCGCCGGGCCCCAGGACAGTCAAAAAACGACTCAGGATGAAAAACCCGGCCCGGGGAATGGGTCGAGACTTCTGCAGGGGACCCCGCATTGAACAAATCACGACGTCGGATCTCTGGGGAACAAATGGGACGTCGGCGATGCATCTGCGACGCCGGGGTGAAGACCAGCGGGGTCTGGGAACCGTCGCGCCGCAGCGCCGATGCATCCGACGTCGAGGAGAAGATGTACAACATCACGGAAAAGCACGGCAAGGACCCTCCACCGCGAGTTTGTGCAGCACCTCTCGAGCCAGATCGATCTGCCAGGGCCCCGAAGCCCGAGAGCGGGCAGGAACGCCCGACGTGAAGAGATGCCACGCCCGGATCTCAGGGCGGCCCAGAGCGGTGTTCGGGCCGCCTCCTCCTCCTCCTCCTCCGCCTCCTCCTCCTCCTCCTCCTCCTCCTCCTCCTCCCCTCCTCCTCCTCCCTCCTCTCCTCCTCCCCTCCTCCTCCCCCTCCTCCTCCTCCCTCTCCTCCTCCTCCCCCCCCTCCCCCCTCCTCCTCTTCCTGCTCCATCCTCCTCCTCCTCCTCCTCCTCCTCCTCCTCCTCCTCCTCCTCCTCCCCCTCCTCCTCCCCCTCCTCCTCCGCCACGGGCGCCCCGCTCCGTCGGGGGCCCGGGCGGCCGCGGCGGGCTCCGCCTCCGCAGCGGGGGCGGCGTCGGGGGCCTCTCAGAGGGGGGAAGGCCGGGAGGCCCGCGCGGCCCCCTCGGAGCGGCGCGGGGGCGCTCCCTCGGCGGCGAGCGAGGGGGGGGGGGAAGCGACGAGGGTCAGGCCCTCGCGGGCCCTCCCTCGGCGGCGAGCGAGGGGGGGGAAGCGACGAGGCTCAGGCCCTCGCGGGCCCTCCCTCGGCGGCGAGCGAGGGGGGGGGGAAGCGACGAGGGTCAGGCCCTCGCGGGCCCTCCCTCGGCGGCGAGCGAGGGGGGGAAGCGACGAGGGTCAGGCCCTCACGTTACCAGCCTGAAACAGATCCCTCTCCCTATGCGGGGCACCTCCTCGTCACGATGCCAAGCTTAGGGATTGCCTCCTTCTTTGAGGGCGGATCCCTGAGATTGTCATCGCCTTTTGGCGTGTCAATCTCAGGGATAGGGATACGTTCGAGGCTGGTAATCACGGAGGGCTCGGAAGGCCCCCGGCCTTCCGCGGAGAGTTCGGCGCCTGCCCCGAGGATACACGAGAGGCTCCTCGGGAGGCCGGAGGCCTCCTGAGAGGCCCCGCCGCGCCTCCTGGGAAGACCCTCTCCTGGTCACGTCCCCGCCTCGCTCGCCGCCGACTTCCTCCCTGGCGCGCCGATAGCGCATCGGGGGCGGCGGCGGAGGCGCCGCCAGGGGAGCCCAGCGCGATGGTTCGTGACACCAGTGAGCCGTGCAACCCGGAACGATCGCGGCGTTCTGGCGCAGGTCGCTCGATGGCGGCCGATCCTGGGCCACCGGCGGCACTCGACCTCGAATGCCCGGGCCGGGGTCGCCGCCGCGTGGACACGGCACGACTTTGCCGCATGCCGATGTTAGAAAGCTGCGACGCAAGACCCCCCCCCCCTGGCGCGCAGAGCGCCAGGACCGTGGCGCCCGAGGCGCCACCGGGGGGGCCCGACGCCGACCCAAGAAGTCCGCGCGGGCCCGACGTGCAGAGCCAGTTCGTAGAGGCCTCCTGGATAGGGTCGGAGTGGATGGGGTCGGAGGATCGCTCCGTGTCGCAGATGCATCGGCGATACATCGCTGGGTGACATCGGCGATGCATCGGCGACGCCAGCGTGGAGAGAATCGGGCTCCACATCGAGCCGCATCGCCGATTTATCGTCGATGCGGCGCGATCCTCCGATCCCATCTAGCCGGACCCCGTCTACGATGCCTAGAGTTCGTACACACCACGAACGTCCCCCCCCCCCCCCAAAAAAAAGTTATGTCGAGCGATCTCCACTTGTGGTGCTCCCATCGTACTTGCGGACCACATCCCAGACATAATTTCGAGCACCCAGAAAACTGTCGAAAGAGTGTCGAAACCATGTCGGACGAGTGTCTCACAGGGCCCGACACGTGAAAACCCTCGAGTTTCGGTAC